GGAGTAAAGGGAAATACCGTTAATCAGCATCTTATGAGTTATATATACAGCGAATCATGATACTGATCAAATGCTAAATTGAGAAACGAATTAAAACAAAAACTTTTTTTTTAATTCGCCTGTTTGGGTTAAAATGTTTCTATGGTGGTCGGTTTGGGTTAAATGTTTCTATGGTGGTCGGTTTGGGTTTAATGTGTCTATGGTGGTCGGTTTGGGTAAAATGTTTCTATGGTGGTCGGTTTGGGTTAAATGTTTCTATGGTGGTCGGCTAGTGAAAGTGATAGCGCAATGGATGTGGTCGCCTGCCCGCCCGCGTGGGTTTTTTCCCGGGTACTCCGGTTTCCTCCCACATTAAGAACCCCACGCGCTAACATCCGGGCCAACAAGAGTGTTTCATATAAGTTTAAATAACTTCATTCATAATTGTTGTAAAATTAATAAAGTTAGATATTAACCGTGTCGGTATTTATTCACAACATTGATACATTCGTGCCCGAGTATCTAGGCATTTATGTGTGTGTATGGTCTTTTTCCAAGCACTAATACGAGTCATGTTCGCGTTTGCTTATCTGGAAAAGTGCAGTGAGCACGAGCTACCATCTGTGATGATCTAGGGAATCAAAGCGATACTGATTCAGCCAGGAATTACTGTCGGGAGCTATCACGTCGGAATATATCAAAACAATACAAACACAAGTTTGTTTAGATTATAAAAGCTCCCTTACTTAGATTTGTTTATCTTTATAACAAAAGAACTCTTTGAAAAAAAAAGCGGACTATTTACTGTCTTTCCAATTTATTTCAAATTCGCTACTTAAATTCACATAAACTAGAAACCTGAGCTCGAGGGAACGCTATATAATATGCCTTGGCGATTGCTACATGTAACCCGGTATATGTAAAAGATCAAAACATTCTCGCTGATTTATTGGCTTTTCTTAGTTACCGAGCGGTGCCATAGAGATGTGGATTTGCAAAAGTGGTATGCGATTTCAATGTATCTATGATTGTTTTCAGGAAATAATTTCGAAATCGGAAACGGCATGCATAAAAAAAAAAAAAATGTAAGCACGCCATTCTCACCATTGCATCAACATGGCGTTACCATTTGGATGTTAAGGTATATATACCTGCTGTGTGTTCTCTTTATTAACTCAACTTTATGTTTATCTCGCACACGCTGTGAAATGTAGCGTAGCGTGGTATATATGAATATATGTATTAATTTACGTACATGTAATATAGAAAAGATTGTAGTTTTATCTTTAGCGAATCTCAATTACTCGTCAATACGTGTACACGCGCCACAGTCTGGTGTTCGTGTATACGTGTGTACGTATACAACAGACCGTCTGGCGTAGGTATATGTACAACAGAACCTCGACATGCAAAGAGCTGTTAAAGTACAGACTACAGGATACTAAAACTGTGATGCATACATGTCTTACTTCCGACGAACCAACTATCGAATTTCAACGGCGAATAATTTCCAGGCTTAAATGACATATTCATTAACGGACGTGCGGCTAAAGGCATATAAATCTTCTTTTTATGTTCTTAGAAATTCTTATTAACAGACCCTAAGCGAAGGCCAACAGAGTTATGAATATTCGATATTCCTTGGGCATGACCTTCTATGGAAGAAACAAATGGAGCTGTCAGGCTTGGGGAGATAGCACAGCTAATACACGCTTGGCTACATTTTGTATTACAGTGGTTTATTTCTATCGAGCACATTCTAGCGGAAATAAACCGTGAAGGTTTTGCTTTTTAAAATCAATTTTAATTTTTATAACAGCATTGTAATCTGGAAAATTCTGTTCCAAAAGATACATAATTCTAGAATAATGAATTCTCAAAACTACAATACAGGATATCAAGAATGGACACTTGCACGTAATTGATAGATCCCCCTATTGATACACATATGTATGGCTAAAAGTCGAGTTCTTCAAACGAATGGATTCTGGAGTAACGAATTTCGACTGAATTAATTTCAATGGACAAGTCGGTAGATTTTTGGAGATATGATGTTATTTTGGATAAGTACTTTCGTTTTTTAGTAAGCCATGGTATCCTTTTTTTTAAATCTCGTTCATTGATACACATATCCATGTTTATGCGCGAAAGGAAAATATCTCGGTTTTTTTCTTCTTAACTTTAAATCTTTTGTTTGGTCTGTTTTTTTAGGCGTCTTATTTTTTCAATTTCCTGAAAGCTTCTATTAAAACGTTTGCAGGAAAATCTACGTCATAATTAAACATCTGGGCTTAACAAACATGCATTGCATATCGTGGAACCTGCTGATGAAGTTGACGATAATGCAATGACTGTACAGGTCTAGTAAGGTAAACGGTCACACTTGATATAAACCGTACTCTGCCACACAAAGATACCAGGTTGTTATAATGATTACATCATATGTTTACTTGCGCAGTTCTGGAGTGTCGGGTGGTTTTAAGGTCGTAAACGTGTGTTGTGAAATACTGGCGAGAAAAACATCAGTAACCATTTTCCACTACTAAATCCGTGCTCAAGACAGCTTTCTTTTAACGCACTTGTATCATGTCAATTGATCAAAGGGATTTGGCACAGAATCCGAGTTTGAGCAGGATAATGGTTTAAAGAATACGGGCACAGGTCTCGTCTACTCAAGTATTGATATTTGTTAATTTGACGCATACTATTTGATAAGTAATTTAGCTGTAATAGTGTTGGCATTGTAAACGGCTGGGAACGGTTGTAAGCAGATACATTTATTCTGTCACAAGTTACAGTTTTACCTTTGATTTTTACCTAAGCGATTTTATTTTGTTACCTTTCACGGTATTATTCCACTGCCAACCGCAATGATATGACAGATATCACAATGACGTCACGTCATTACAAAATCGAAAGGAAGGACAAGATGACGCCACGAGAACAATGAAACATGACGTCAGAACCGCTTTCAACAGTAGAGAACATGCAAAAATCAGAAAAAAAATGATACTAAAAGAAAAGAGAAAATAATAGCTGGTATTCATAGTTTTGGAACATATTGAGGCAAAATTAATCCCTTCGTAGGGGTTTAGCCTGGTTTGGTTTAATTTGTTGAACGCCCTTTTAAAAGCTAACGCCATTTAAGGACGTGCCTCCATGTGTGTAGTGTATGAGTGCTTGTGTGTGTGTGTGTGCTGGAGGTAGGGTAAGGTTAATGTCAGAGAATCCAAATCCTCGGGAATACATTTTTGAATGTGTTACCCTCTGCTCGATATTCTTGAGTGTGTGATCTTTGACAAAGCAAAACGTAAATGCACGTCAATTACATTGTATGTAGTCATAATATAATCGTGATAAACGATAAATCTTTACTTGAATTTCAAGATTCAAGCAGAAGGAACGTATTTAGTTCGATGTCTACCGGGGGGCAGCTTAACAATGCAACGATTATGGAAGTACTCCGGTCCATGACCNCCCCCCTTCTCTCTCTCCTGCTACTCTTCCCGTCGGGGTAAATGTGACACGTGCATGCATACGGAACTTTTTAACAAACGCAAAAGTCATTCCCGGTGCTAATGTAAAAATAGAGCTAATTATTCCAAAGCATTACTTAATCAAATTGCGTAATACAGAAGATATACTCGAGCGAGTATCAATGATCATTAGCTACATTCTAATCACCCATCAAGGTATTAAAGCCATGTGTAGGAGACTTCAAAACCATACATCAAATCAAGGCGGCCATCAACAGGGTTTTTTGCAGCTCGAATTGGTTTTTGTGAAAATCAGTTCTGAAAATGCCTTGAGATGAGATCGGCTCTATATTTGCCACGTCTTTAAAATCCGTGCCGACTTGAAATCGATTGGTACAAATAACTATAGAAGATGTAGGCATCGCTCAAGCTTGTCAGTGCTAATCGGACTACGCTTACATCATCACACGCTCGCGCTAGCTACAGTGTGTACCGATACATACTCTTTATCATTTAACATCAGTCCCGCATAAAATAAATACGGATCAGTCCCGCACAAAATAAATATGGATGTTTACAAATAGTTCATATCCAAGCATCCACATTGAAATGTCAATAACTTCCGCACGATTTCTACAAACGGGTCTATCTCTGTATCGGAGCGTGCATTTTTATGATTCCCTCGAAATTGTCCATTCCTGCTATCCCCGCTACACACACTACTGATACAGCAGCTGTGTTTACACGTACAGGCCACGCTCCAGCACGTGCTCCGTGGTTCGCGTGCGTTGGTATGACTGCAAGTCACTGTTATGTAGATTTGAAGTTCGCATGTCGGAAACAAAGGTCTATAACTTGATGAGAAACTTTCCGTTTTAATCGGTCCGTGTCTGAACAATGTCACGACATTTGTAACATTTAAAAGAAATATGTCGTGTTCCTGTGATTTTTCTTTTCTTCGTTTATTACATAGTTTATAGCTCATATTTCCCGTGGTTCTATACAGCTAGGCATCAAATACAATCAATCCTGTCACAGCCTGTTGCACGAAGCCGATACCATCTACAATTAGAATTATAGTGTATTGTTTGTAAGGTATTGATCTGAATAATCTGGGAAGACAACCAAGAGAAACAGTCTAGTCCACTTGTAAAACGCTAGGCCAGAGGGACCTCTCCTCATAATCTAAAAGAGATAGTAAAATATACAACAGTCTCTGTTTCACTATAAGAGGTTTTAATTGTTCTAAATTGACAAAAAAGTAGCAAAAACTCCCAGAACTTAAAAACTGTGTGAGGTTCCATATATACGGAGTGTCTGCTGTTATACATACAAAAGAGTACGTTGATTTTTGTATACAGACACGTGAAATAAAATATTCATAACCAATGTGAATGTCTATGGGACACTGCCGTGTATTGATTTAGTCATTATCTTTTCTTCCAGTGTCCCCTTCATATATTACACTTTTACTAAGTCACCGTCCTAAACCACAATATGTGAAGGCGCATGCGCAAACTCGTGTATCCCGCGCTTGAAGAGAAATAGACGAGAGTTAGTTTCGACACTGTTTGGGTGTAATGGGTTGTTGTATGAAATTAGACACTAAGACAGGCTGTATTTATGAATTACACAGACTAAACTATGGCCATGCTTACCTCGAGTCAAGAATTAACCTCTATACATTTCATGAGAGACTTGGATCGGAGAATATACATAGCGCTGTAACAGCCACAGCAAGTATTGATAGATCGCAGGCTCCACACAGCGCTGCTATGGAACTGCCGACCAATCTTTGACAAGTCGGCTATGTGCTGCTCCACAGTTTAAACGTATTGAAGTTACTGAAACAATGCTTGGTCGCTATGAAAGAGGACCCTTTCCTTTTCCCTGGTTCTTTCTGAATCGTTCTATTTCTTTTGTTATCGGAGGTTTACTGAACCAAGCATGGCCACTCGTGTGATATTGTATTACTTTCTTTTCTGTTTTATTCAAAGGAGTTATCCACATGTGATTATTAAGCAGCGAGGCCAGAGTACCATACCCACCAGGTATGGCCACGTTAGGGGAGTACTGGTAGAACTACCTGTCAAACCTCCGGGAGCTAGCTTACAAAACGTAGAGGCCTATCTCGGCTTACAATTTGGTTTTTTAAGGTCCGATATTTTGCGGTTTATGGCCCCTAAGGGCCCAGTGGATACATGGAGAAATGTAAGATATGCAGACAATTATTCCGAACCGTGTCCTCAAAAAAAGTTCAGCCGGAAGGAGTTGAGGAAGTTTTTACCAAATGGTACAATTGAGCATATACATCGTGTGTCACAGTTTATCAATTCAACTTCGGAGGAATGTTTACATCTCAATATTTATGTTCCGACGAAAGAGAAATCACAAAGTAAGTACATCTTTATCTTAAACTACATATATCAACCAGACCTCACACGTGATTCAACGAACAGTGTAATTTATTCATATAAAGCTTGTTGACATTTACCAGTCGTTATGGAAACCGTTAGATTATATCTGAAAGAAAGTTGACTTACATAATTTTGAAACATCCAACTGATGCACGTTGTGAAAGTTACAAACAACTGTCCTGTTTGTAATTAAAGACTGCTGTTTTATGTCAATTTTAATGACATAATTGCATTTAAACATTTGAAGTGACCGTATGTGCATTTTAGCTGCAATCACTGTTATTGATCTCGCATTCTCTAAACCCTTGATTAGACGACATTCAGTGAAATACTTATTACTCAAACCAAACGCCATGATGACAATTATTTATAGAACAAATATCGATACCAATACAATCCCATAACTCAATAACATCATTTCAGGTGCGGTGTGTCTATATCATATGTAAATACACAGTCATAGTTTAAATTAGTTTGATATTTTGCACGATAAAACACCGGATGCTGTTACAGATATCTTCAAATTCGTGCTTATTAAAGCATGCGTGAGTTTCAAAGCTATAAACGAGCAATCAAGTAATCTGATATATATAACTCCTCATTTGTAAGTTTTTTAGAAGCGTATAGCATGTACGTAAAATTTTATATTGCCATGCTGAATTCGATATCAGCAGACTAAAATACATTAAAACTAATAAAACTCGTTTCCTGAGAAAACCATTTTAACATGGATAGGCAGTATCAAGAATGCATCAAAACACGTTTACACAACTGGTAAATGGTTTGAAACAGTATCTGTATTCAAGCTCATCTACTCCAAATTCTATAGCGTAACGCGTGGCTGCTACGGAAACTCATTTTGAAACAAAGTCTGAGTATTCATGAAAGGTCGAAGATTTGGCCTACAACTTCAGTTCTATCGGAAATGGCTGTACTGAAATCCCTGGCCGGTTTCTGTCGGGTATGCTTTATTGCCCTGCTCATCTATAACACAGATTGAGGCTCCGCGTAATCTTCTACAATGCTCACTAATAGCAAACTTGAACATATTTTTCTCCAACAATATCTCAACACTAGCAGAAACGGAACTCCGTAGCGTGCTTAATCGTCTTTCACTATCCCGAGGGTAAGGAAAACAGGTACAATGGCGGATATTGCGCGAGACACGTTAGGGGTATATGGCAGTCCAATCGGATTCTTAGACAGTAGTATTAACATTATCTAAGAATTACGATTTCAGGAACATGAAATCAGATTAGTGTTCAAATTTCAGTTGAAATCCGTTGCCCCGAGGAAGCGGTAAACAGATGATGTGGGATGCGATGTCGCTGTCTTATTTGTGTTTTATCTCTCCTGAGACTAGATTCAACATGTCTAATTTTGGGTAATTTCACAGCAAAGATGGCTGACTTCTTGTCCGAAGAAACACGGTAATCAGGTACAACTGGGGCGTTTTATTTATTTTTTTCTTTGTTTTGAATTTGTTCTTTTTATTTTTTCGTCATCTACAATTTTAATGTAACGCCATTTCCATTTCACATAGACCCATCATTCCGCTCACCAGCAAGAGACGTGTCAAATTTTACAAGTTCGATTCATGTCTTACTCCAGTATTGGAGAACGTTAACACTTTCTGATTCTTGTCGATATTGCTGACATGAGTTGACGTTATATCCGACGACCTGTGGCATTTATCTTACGCCAGTTTTAGGAAACAGTGGACTCGAGTGTTGACGTCCCGTGATAGCATTAGACGTTACATCATCGTGACATCGATTGACGCTATGAGTTACATGTAGATTTGACGTACTGAGAGATGAGTTGACGCTACCGCTGTCGCATCGTGACGCCGATGGACGCTATATAAGACGTCAGTAATGAAAAAAGGGTGTAGCTACTATACTTTAGACGAAATTTGAGATCAGTGAACGCTATATGGCGAACAGTGAACGTGGTTTCTGACGGAGACATATCTCTGCTATCGACATTCGACTTACAAGTTACATATGTCGATATATTATAATTAATAAAGGATGTCGTCGTAATCTAAAAATAGATCAGTCTTCTCATATAATGTTGACACAGTCTCAGTTTACGTCAACAATATTTATAGATGATATCGACATATATGACTTCATTTCAAGAATGACACTCGGTTATTTATAGTGTTTATGACTATTTGAAAAACAGTTCCGTTAAAAAAGTCTTAAGTAATAGATATATGATAAACCTGTCTGATCCCTGAATGAAATACTGTATAATCTAAAACTATTTTACAAGATACTATACTGCCCTTCATTTCGTTATAACAAATTTTATTGATGACAATCAAAGATCAAAGAGATTGATCAACAGACAAAGCCTATTTTATTTTCTCTCCTATAATGAAATGAATGTGAACCGAACTGTGTAATAAACCATAATGTAAATGATAAAAACCTGCATTTTAATTCTTAAATGACCCTCCTGTTTCATATACCTGTTTGCGAATGTGTCACCTTTCTAAGTTAGAAAAAGTAGCTGGCAATGTATTAAACAAAAAACAAAAAATCACCAAGGAACTCACAATGCGTAATGACAAATCAAAAACGATATTTTGAACTTAAATTTAATCGTCAGAAAAAAATCCCGGGTTTACATTGGTACGGATGAATTGAAGAATAAGTGGACGTTCAAATTGCTCAATTACCTTAGGTTTATTTGATCGGCTGTTTCCTGGATAAAAGAAACACATGACTTATTTTGTAAAACCGATAAATATTCCTAAATTGCGGGTTCGTTTGCCACTTATCGTACTGTAATTATCAAGGCGATCACTGGGAGCACGCTGACACAACTGAAATGGTACTTTGTCGATCGATCTGTCGTGATTTCCCTACATATGGTATTTGTCTTTTAACTATCGGGATAATTGGAATTTGCCTTCCTAGTATTTGCTTTATAAAGAAAATAGGAAATCCCTATAATTACGTTCGTTATTTCAGTTGATTACGAGGTTGAATAGTTGGCATATGACCCGCAGTAATAGAAGTGCTGGTTTAAGTGTTACAAGAAATCGCGTTTTGCAAACACAATACAACCTTTTTTATTTTCTACATTGAAGAGTTCGTATAATCTTACAGTATGCGAGTAACAATAACAGTAGTTAATTAAGAATTGGAAATGACAAACTTGTTGCATGGATGAGAACAAATGTTGAGTTGAATTTGTGCAGAATCCTATAAGCAATGTAGTACAGTGGACTTTTGCCGTTTGAAATAAACAACAATGAAATCCACAAAGTATGCAAGTTCCATATTCATATCAGACGGACACAAATTATACATTCATTACACTATCTGTCGAGAACAATTTACATTTATGTATATATCATACGAATACATAGAACACGAACATTAATAACACTTAAATATCGCTCATATTTATTACACGTACATACTCGACATTAATTACACGTACACATCACTCGACATTAATTACACGTACATATCACTCATATTCATTACACTTAAATGAACATATAATTAATTACACTTGTATATCACACGGATAGCAATCACACTTAAATACAACTCTACATTTATTACGTTTACATATCATAAGGCATTATTTACACTGACATATCACTCATTGAATTAGACCTACAGTGTATATATCATAAGGCATTAATTACACTTACATATCACTCGACATTAAATACGCGTACATATCACTCGACATTAAGTACACCTACATATCACTCGACATTAATTACACGTACATATCACTCGACATTAAGTATACGTACATATCACTCGACATTAATTACATGTACATATCATTCGACATTAATTACGCGTACATATCACTCGATATTAATTACGCGTACATATCACTCGACATTAATTACACGTACATATCACTCGACAATAATTACACTTACATATCACTCGACAATAATTACACGTACATATTACTCGACAATAATTACACTTACATATCACTCGATATTAATTACGCGTACATATCACTCGACATTAATTACACGTACATATCACTCGACAATAATAACACGTACATATCACTCGACAATAATTACACTTACATATCACTCGACATTGATTACGCGTACATATCACACGACATTAATTACACGTACATATCACTCGACATTAATTACACGTACATATCACTCGACATTAATTACATGTACACATCACTCGACATTAATTACACGTACATATCACTCGACATTAATTACACTACTTAGCACATGAGCTTGTATTATCTCACACAGATATTTATTATATTTGTATTCCACACGGATATCACAGCAGTTACATATTTCTGAACCGTATTTGAAATAAAATGAATTTATGCAACCAAATTATATGGATTTCCATGCATGTCTTATGTAATCAACGTTTTCCGACATGCAGTTTGAATTTAATTTTCATTTATGTTCCTATATACAACCTAATGTAAAATGATTGCAGATGTATCTTTATCACACATAAATTATCTCTTTCAGCACCAATAGTATCCAATTAATAAAGGAATGTGATAAGTATACGTATATTTTACTTATGATAAAACTGTTATCAAAGAACAAATGAAATCGTGCATGAATCCGGAATGTCCGGTTTCCATTATTACAAAATGTAGTAACTCTCTAGCGTTACTTCCTGTTTGAGGAGGTCGGTGGCATTCAAGTCCTCTCTGTGTCTGTACGTGAGGCTAGGGGAAACCGATCAACTCCTCTCATCGGCATCTTTGTAATATTTCAATATCTCAATAGTTTCAATAAAGCTGTGGTCAAACTTACAATTCGTATTTTTCTCAATAGTTAATTAATTACAAATACCAGTGAAATAAACGGAGGAACAGAGTGATATATCGTGAATACATCAAGAAACAAATATCGTTTAACACATTTTTATTTCGGTCGTTTCATCGATAAAACATTGGAAAAGGTATTTCTGTTGCTTTTTTTTCTCTT